GCAAGATATGACAAAATAATAATTTATACATTATCAAGGGTTCATGAGGGAGGGGGAGCGGGGAGGGCGAAAAATGAGGAGCTGATGCCAGGGGCTTAGGTGGAGAGGAAATGTTCTGAGAATGATGAGGGCAATGAATGTACAAATGTGCTTTACATAATTGATGTATGCATGGATTGTGATAAGAGTTGTATGAGCCCCTAATAAAATGACTTTTTTAAAATTGTTGCTACCAATTTTGGGTGCTTTTGGGTCAGTTCCAATCATAAAGACAAAATGAAGCACTGCCATCTTCACAAATGTTCCGTTTGAGCTCACTGTTGCAGACACTTGGTCAATACACCTCACTGATACTCTGCCTTCTTTCTGATTTTCTACTTAACCAAGCATAATGTCACTCCTGATAACATGTCCAAAGGATGATACATGAGAGGAAGTGTTTTGTCTGTACTTCATTCACAACAGATGTTTGTTTTCCTGCAGACTTGACACAGTATGAGTAATTGAGGGCATAGACTCCTGGGTTACACCACCTGGACTGGTATCTCCATGCCAACACGTACACATACGCACCTGCATGATTTTGGACCTTAAGAAATCTCTTGGTACTTTAGTTCTCTCACTTGGAAAACAAGGATAAGATTTCAATTGCTTGAGAGAATCAAATGGAATGATCCATATGAAATTCTTACCCCACTTCCTGGCACAGAGATGCTATTTATCAAAAACTTTTTACTGTCTCATTAGCTTGACAGAGAAACTCCCTGGAAGTGGTGACATAGTTCATGTATCTCTACGACCCTCTTAGTATGAATCTCAAGCCTAGGATCCCACAAGTCTGAAAGTGCTGCCCCTTCCACATATTCCACTTACAGCCTAACCACCAATGTCTGTCATCCATCCTAGCAACCATTTTACTAATGTCTACAACCTGTACCATTTGGACAGGTCTGTCTTCTCACCTACTCGCTCACTCCCTGCCATCGAGTGGATGTGGACTCACGGCGACCCTATGAAACAGGATAGAACGGCCCTGGTGAGTTTCCGAGACTATAACTCTTTACCAGAGTAGAAGGCCCCGTCTTTCTCCCACAGGTGTATCTTACTGACCATATTATCTGCAACACCTGAAACACCAGCATCTTTCTCCCACAGGTTTATCTTACTGACCATATTATTTGCAACACCTGAAACACCAAGCATCTTCCTGTAAGACATAATGTCTACAAGCAGTTAAAAAAAAAGTTCTATTTTCCTCCAGCACCTCCACAATAAAAGCTTTGGCAGTAAGTCTCTGTCTTACTCAACGCTGTCCCTAGTATCCCCTCCTGGACTTGCCATGATAACGGCTCCAAAATATTTGTTAGAAGATGTTTTTGATGTTCTTGTTGGGGCGTGTGTGTGTGTGTGTGTGTGTGTGTGAGTGAAGTTTTCTAGGGAAATATCAGTCCTATTTCAATGACTCCACAGTACAAGCAACGTATCTTTTTGTCAACATCCTTATCTCCCCCAAAGCCTAGATATACGCAGCTTAATTACATACTGAAAGGATAATGTCATTGTAGGAGGCTGGAAGGAGAAATCGCCAACTGACCGTCGTAGTTCTGGACAGGTATCTGGGGGCAATTTGAGTAAGAATATTTTGTCTTAACTCTGAAGTTCTCCAGAGTACGGTTAGGTCTTTTCGTTTCTTTTCTTTCTTTCTTTCTTTTACGTACACATTGCAGAAGAGAATGAATCAAACCCCTGGCCCAGTTCTCTCCTGCGTCCGGTAAGGAGACGCGGCTGGATCTGCGACCCGGCGGCGGTCTCGAAGCCACGTTCTCTCCCACACCTGGTTGCCGAGGACCCCGGGGACGACCGTGCAGAGCCGCCCCAGCAGCCCCGGCCTGCGTCGGGCAGCGCGAGCGCCCCAACTGTCCCGTACTCACCACCAGCGAGGCTGCGAACCCTGGCCGGTCCATGAGCCCGCACCCCCGTCCAGGCTACCGTTTGAAAACGAGCCGAGTTAGGCTCCGGAACCGCACACCGGGCGCCGCCATCTTGGAGGAGGAGCTTATGAGGATGGCACTTCCGCGGGCGCGTGACGTTAAATCACAACAACTGCACGTGCGGGAGCGCGGCGGGGAGGAAGGCGGGGCCTGGAGGTGGAGCCAGACCGAGTCTCCTTCTGCGTGTTGTGATTGGACTAGATAGAAAGGGGGCGGGGTGGGGAGGAAGGCGGGGCCTGGAGGTGGGGCCAGACCGAGTCTCCTTCTGCAGTGTTGTGATTGGACTAGATAGAAAGGGGGAGGAAGGCGGGGCCTGGAGGTGGGGCCAGACCGAGTCTCCTTCTGCAGTGTTGTGATTGGACTAGATAGAAAAGGGGGCGGGGCGGGGCGACTTCAGAGCCCGTCCGGAGCTCCGAGCGCAGAGTGCGGGCCCTGCTTGGTAGGGGGTGGGATCCGCGTGCGGCTGCTGCCCACCTTTCTAGCCTGCTCTAGAGGGTGAAACCCACTCGATGGCGCTGTGGTTTTCCGAATCGCGCAGTAAGGACTGAAAATAAACTCTTGGAATCATTCTGACTCATACTTAGAACTTACTGCATTCGAGTGGATTTCGACGCAAAGTGACCCTATCGGACAGAGTAGAATTGCTCCTGCGGGTCTCCGAGACTAAATCTTTATGAGAGCAAATAACTCTACTCGGGCAGAGCAATGGATGCATCCGAGCTACTGACGTTGCTGTGAGCGACCCAATGTGTATCCCATAGAGACCCTACGTAGGGCTTCTGAGCCTTTGTAAATCTGTATAGGAACAGTTTGCAGACCTTTCAGTTTGCTGTTCCACACCCAGAAGAGACTTGGAGAAGTGGCAATTGTGGTGGGAGGGGCTGTGAAAAGGCTGGAGGATTTGGAAGTGGGGGAGTCAAGTGCTTTGCCTAATAAAATGGTTTCCCTTTACCTGGGAGTCCACATCCCTTATCTATCAGTTGGCTTTATCTGTACGAATTTTGTCCAAGTTCCTATAAAGATCCATTATCAGAAAATTGTTAAAGATAATAGTACACTTCAAAGATTTTCTTTAACTGAAAAATACCCCTCTTCCAAACTTCCATTTCTTTTTACTGGCAGTTATAGCCATTAAATTATTTTGTCCATTTATCTACTTGTTCATTTTGCACACCTCCAAGCCCAGTACATATCTACTGAACTGATGTTTCTTGGCGTGGGCTTGCCTTTATATAGGTTACAGGACCACTACACTTCAGATGGAGTCTATTGTAGGACCCAGGCTGACCTTCTTCACCCCCCAGGCTCATGAACTACGCAAATGTCTACTATTGTTGGCCACTGAGTTTTACAACTAGATTTTTCTCTACCTTCTGTAAAGAGTGAGAGTCTCAGAAACCCACAGGGCAGTTCGACCCTGCCCTACAAGGTCTCTATGAGTCAGAATCAACTCGATGGTAGTGAGGGGTTTTTTGGTTTTTGTTTTGGTAGACACTTTGATGGACTCTGTGTGGTGTGAAGAGTTAGCATGCTTGGTTGCTACCAAAGGTTGGAGGTTCAAGTTCACTCAGACTCATCTCAGAAGGCAAGTTTGATGGTATGCTTACAACATATTAGCCATTTAAAACTTTATGAAGGCAAGCATACATATTCATTGAAAACACAAATATGAGTACGGATGCTTCTCAGACATAGACAAACATCCATTCTCACGGGACAACTTAGTCAGTTGGCATAATGTAATTCACAGAAACCATGATCTGCATCCTGGTGAAGTGAGTAGCATCTGAGGTCTCAAAAGCTGCTGAGCTGCCATCTAAAGCAATTACAGGTCTCCACTCACCAGGACAAAGCAACAAGAAAGTGACCAAAAGCACGGAAAAGAAACGCCCACAAGAAACCCACCACCACATCTACCCTGAGACCTGCCTGGCTACCGCTGACCACTGTGACTGGGGTCATAACTGTTGGCCTCAGAATAATAGGAGCAATGTATGAAGCAGAACTCAAATTCTTATTTTTTTAAAAAGCCAACGTGCTCGCTTCGGCAGCACATATACTAAAAAGCCAGACAAACTGGAACAGTAGGGATCAGAAGACACCCTGAGTCTATCATCCTGAGGCAACCTTTAAACCTAGAACCAAACCTGTCCCCTGGAACCACCTATTAGAGAAATGACAAGCAAAATAAAGGATATTACCTATAAGATCAGTGCCATGCTTAAAAGTTATCAGATTGGAATGGACGAGGAGAAATAAAATGTGTGTGAACTATTGGATGTAGAACACATCATATACTCTGTAAACCATTTAATCCCAATAAAAAAGTTTTGTTTTTGTTTTTTAAGCATCGGTGAAAGACCAACAAGTAAATGATTACTAAAAGCAAAGATGAGAAAGCAAATGGCCAAGAAAACTACTGTGCTGGAAAGGGAACTGAGCACAATTTAAAGACAGACATATTGTGATAAATGTAACTAGTGTCACAAATCAATGTATATGGAAATTGTCAAATGGAAAGTGTAGAAAGAAATTATGTGGGTGGGGGTCTGGCATCTGACCTCCAGTTGCAAGTGGGAAGGAAAATTAAGCTCCACATCAGAAGTGCCCGAAGCAGATTTCCATCTGGCTGTCAGGCAAGCCCCACCCTCTAGCCTTCCTACCAATACTGACACCAGCTCTCTACTTTTCAGTTCAGTTCTGTAATTCATTGCCATAGCCACACAGTCTCATAGACAATACTCGATGATTACGGGGTTTATTAAAGAGTTTTGACAGGTTACATATACACAGGATATAATTATCCAGAGAGCACAGCCTCTTTTCAGCTGTGCCTGAAAGCGGGCCTCATTCTGATCTTCCGCCTCTCAGCTAACGGGCCCATTGGCCTCTGCCCTGCTCATGCAATGTTACAATGCTTCAGACGTCCCGCTTTTGGCGGGTCAGTCCCCATTTTTGGTGTTTTTTAAAAGTCCCGATTTTTGGAAAGAATGCACGACAAGCTAGGGAACGGTCTATTTGGTCCATATAGACCAAATTTTTAATCAAGAACCCCCACCCCCATCCCCGGTCAATGGTGCCCTGCTTTAAATCTGGTCACCTTATTAAGGGCTGCCCATAAATGTCCAAAGGGAATGCCACTCCACCATAAACCTGGGCCCAAAGATGATTAACTCTAACTCAATGGATCAGTAATCTTAGCTTCCCTAATTAAGTGACCGGAGGCACTACCTGACCCAAGGCACTCAGCTTTTATTTGCTCTGTGGGCTGGGAAGTTCACCACTCTGTCTCAAACTCTACCTCTTAGCTTTGCTGCTGCCACTCCTCTGATGTCAAAGGTGTCTCCTAGATCAAGGAGGTTCCATGTACAGAGATCTGCATCAAAAGGACACACTCAAGTCCTAGTTCTTTCTTAATGGCAGTAAACTCCTCCTTCTTCCTTCTAAGATGGCCAATTTTATATCCAGTAGGATGGCAATCACTCATCCATGCTAAGAAATGTGGAAGAGTTACCTGGTAAACTGATGGGAATATTTGTAGCCATTCCAAAAGTGACCCAATAAAATGTTTAAATCTTATAGACCAATATCATTAATATCACATGCAAATAAAATTTGGCTGAAGATAATCTAACAACAGTTACAGAAGTACATTGATAGGGTGCTTCCAGAAATTCAGGCCAGTTTCAGAAGAGGACATGAAACAAGGGATATCATTAGGGATGTCAGATGGATATTGGCTGAAAGCAAAATTACCAGAAAGATGTTCATGTGTGTTTAATGACTATGTTAAGGTATTTGATTGTGTGGGCCATAACAAACTATGGATAAGTTTGAGAAAATGGGAATTCCAGAATACTTCATTGTGCTTATGTGGAATCTTTACACATTAACAAGCAGTTGTGGGAACAGAACAAGGGAATACTACATGGTTTAAAATCAAGAAAGGTGTGCATCAGGGTTGTATATTTTCACCATACTTAATCTGTAGGCTAAACAAATAGAGAAGCAGCATTATATGAAGAAGAATACCTCATCGAGATTGGAGGAATGCTTATCAACCTTTGGTATGCAGATAATATAACCTTGCTTGCTGAAAATGAGGAGGGCTGGAAGCACTTGTTAATGAAGATCAAGGATTGCAGGCTCAAGTATGGACTGCAAATCAATGTAAAGAAAACCAGAATTCTCCACCTGGACCAATAAGTAACATCACAATCAATGGAGAAAAGATTGAAATTATCCATTTATCTTTCTTGAATCAACAATCAGTGCACATGAAAGCAGCAGTCAAGAAATCAAATAACACATTTTCATTGGGCAAACCTGCTGCACAAGACCCCTTTAAATTGTTGAGAAACAGGGATGATACTCTGAGGACTAAGGTGCACCTGACCCAAGCTGTGGTATTTTCAATTACCTCATATGCAGGTGAAAGTTAGAAATTGAGTAAGGAAGACTGAAGAATAATCAATGCATTTGAATTATGGTGCTGGTGAAGAATCTTGAAAGGCACATTGACTGCCAAAGAATAAATATGAGGAGGGACCCCCCAAAAAGCAGAATTGCCCTTGGCAGAGCGGAGCTTGTATAGTATGCATTTTTTCCTTCGAGGCCAGCATCAAGCAACTGGCTCTGAGTTAGTGCACCCAGCGGTGTCACCTGGGAAGGTTTTCTTGGGTCACAGTGAATTTTTTCATAAAAGCAGTTTTGCTTGAACCTCATTTTTTGTGATGGCCCATGTAAGAGAACAGCATGTGGCTGTAAAATGTGGTTCCTGTTTGGGAAACTGTTGTGATGTTGAACACAGCATACAAGGAAAGCATACATGGGATATAAACAGACTGTTCCCCAGCTTTGTATCCCCCAAAGATATGCCAAACCTTAAAGGCTGTTTGTCAGCACCTGGTGTGAGGTCAGATGCTTAGAGATATTCTCCCTGAAGGCTTTCAGCCATCAGACTACTGTATGGTCCACTACAGGTGGGACTCACACCCTACTGATAAGGATAATCATTGTTTCCATGGAGAGCTTAGAACAGGTCAAACCTGC